TATACACTTAGTTCATGCTGCCTACCACTATTCATGAAAAACTGAATGGCTATATAGGATGAATATACAACAAATCTAAGGTAAACAGGCTGGAACATACAGTTCTCACAGAGTATACAAAGGTTAAAGATTTGCAATGCAAAGAGGACAGCAAGGTATGCAAATAAAATAATATAATAATATTCCATTTAGCAGACGCTTTTATCCAAAGCGACTTACAGTCATGTGTGCATACAATTTTACGTATGGGTGGGTCCCGGGGATCGAACCCACTACCCTGGCGTTACAAGCGCCGTGCTCTACCAGCTGAGCTACAGAGGACCACACAGGACAATGCCAATATCATGGAACTCTCCCCTCCACCTAATCATGGGGTAAATCAATCTTTCAAAAAATGTAATATGGGGCAAACTATGACTATTTATTCAGGCCAAATAACTCAACTTCAAAACCAACAGAGCGAGATCAAGGCTGATCCGCCATAGAGTAACAGGTTGTCTCTGTGTGCTATATTCAGACCTCTGTTCCCCAAGAGGAATGCTCCAGTTGTATCGGCTGTGTTATTATTACCGCTTTGCATGACAAACAGGAGGTTCCGCACCCACTGTGTCCCTTATGACTGTGCATCACCCTTCTACTAGAGGCTGAAAGGCCTTAGTCATCACAAGCGAAGGGGCTACACACATTCCTCACAAATGAGAGCTTGTACACAATCTGGTAATTCCTCAAGCAGAGTTGCTCCCTCTCTCCCCCCCCCCCCCCCCACCAGCCCTCTCTCTGGATTTAAGGTTTGCTATGGAGACGTGAATAGGTGGTATGTCAGAGCTCCCAACAGCTCTGGAGAACACAGTTCCTTGGCCAGGGCCAAGTCCCCATGGTTACGACAGAGCAGCAGTAACTGCCCCTTTTCTGTGTGCATTTGTCTGTTTGCAGGGAGCTTGAAGGAGACTGGAAATGCATGTCAATGTCCCCATGCCAAGTATCACAAGAGGCACCTGTATAAATCATGTATAAGCAACAGGTTCTATTGTTTGCTAGTTTGAGGTGACAAGAACACACCAAAGCGGACCTATTTAAAATCAGAACCTTCTGTTAAAATGGATTAGGACACGCCTGAAATAAGATGTGGCTACCTTTACCGACCTGGGCTGCAGACAGTGCCCAATGAAGGTATATTTGAAACAAGTCATACAAAACACGAGGAAGGCAAATGAAATGAACCCAAAATAAAGGATAGAGCATTTTATAACAGTGAGAATGAAAGGGAACATAGTACAGCCTGACAAATCAAGAGCTTTGGACTATAAGGTAATATCTGCAAAGATGATTCTGAAATAATTGTCTTTAAAGTCCTGAATCCTCATTGGTTTAAATGGTGTCAGCAATTGTTATATTTTATTCTTTTGAATTTAACAACATCATTTGGGGTATTTAGAGTACTATATAGTTAACCTTGTTCTGTTCAATGTTCTCTGTCAATAACTCAATGTTAACAAATGCAGATAGAACCTTAGATTGAAAGATTAACATTTCTAGCGTTTGGGTCTAACTAAATATCTTTCAACCTACTGGTAAATGGTATCTCTTTCTCAATATTCAGTCAGACTGGTATATAATATTGGACACAAAAGCAGAATATAACAGTTTGTTAGATTCTTCTTTAGTGGCCCAATCATCTTGTTGATCTCTCATCAGTGACTGAAGCCTGGCAAAAGCTTTTACGGAGCACAGGGAGTCAGCTAGGCTATACATCTCATACTCTGGCTGAGTTTAGACAAAGCTCACTAAATTAACCCCATAATCAAAGTAGGCTAAATGTAAAACAAATTTACCTTTAACTTGACTCTCGTAATCAGCAATGATTTCTTTATCCTTTTTGAACTTTGTATTAGACATTTTCGGGTCGATTCAGTGGTTAGGAAGTTAAACTATTAAAAGTGTCGTCTTGCTGCACGCCTATAACTTCCGACGCATCACACAGATTGAGTAGTGTTCCACTACCAGACAACAATTTGTAGTCAAGAAAACTCAACGCCAATTTTCCAATTAGAGTTATTCCCTTGTAAAGTAGCTAATCAAGAAAACGTTTAGTCCATTGTTCTCCTTCTACACGAGTAATGCTGGAAAAGGAGACCAACACGAAATCCTGATATCAATCAATGAAATCACTGATAACTGCTGGCTATGCCAGGCCAGGCAGAGCGGAGATGTCGAGTCGATGCAACTGCATAACCTTTTATAATCCGTTAATCCACGCAGTAAGTATAAAATCTTCAATGTGGGTGAGAAGGCGCGCGGTTTTATCGCACACGGAGTACCAAGGTAGCACACTGCAACTGTACGTCACGTGTCCTATATATGTCGTTCCTTTGGTGCTCTCTAGTTTCCCCGGTCCCACACTTCCCATTTGCCTCGTTTTCCCCAGACAAGACTGACTGCAGCACAGCTGCCACGCTCACTGTGGAAATGGGAGGGATCGAAGAGGCATAGCGGAAACAAGAGATGCTTTGAAATGATTTGTATCTAACCAATAGTGCCGATTATGTTTTCGGGCTAATATCAGTGCTGGACTTTTTCAACGCCATTTACATGGTGTGATCCACATACGCCTCAAGGCAGTGTTGATATTATAAGCACGGCTGTAACATTTTATTGAAGTTGCACCAGTGACATTGGAATTATTATACAAAGTAACTGCTACCAGTGTTACAATATTTCCATTGGTTAAATAACCTTGGGGGTTTCTACACTTACAAATGGCTTCGTAAGAAATAAAAAATATATTCAATACAATATTTTAGTTTTAATTCTTTACATTAGAAGTCATCCATCTATCCTCACTATGCTCTGCTGTGTGACATATCCCTTATGTCTATGGTATAAGACTAGAATTTACAAATCTGTGTAACAAACAAAAAATATCTTATATAAAAGTGCCATCAATTTACACACAGTTGTTTTCTTTACCAGGATCAAAGTCCCTGATGAGGGCCCTATGAGAAAATGGAGCACATTTGGTGTTTAGCATGCTTTGTGAGAAGAGACCTCTTAATATTTACTTACTACTTAATATAACCATTCCCATTGTAACCAAGTGATAATTCTGCTCACTACACCTGTATGTTCAGCAAAGCGATATGTACTGAAATTACTGTGGTTCTATAACCCCATCTGCTGGAGATCATGTTATGGTACAGATTCATTCTTTCCAGTCTCCTGTACACATTACATTTACGTCATTTAGCAGACGCTCTTATCCAGAGCGACTTACAGTTAGTGAATGCAAAAATTTGCATACTGGCCCCCCGTGGGAATCGAACCCACAACACTGGCGTTGCAAACGCCATGCTCTACCAACTGAGCTACACGGGGCCACATAATTTTTTTAATGCTTATTTAATAGGATAAAACATGTTTTAATGGCAAGACAAACATTGTACAACATTTCACAGAAAAGGTGATGCAACAGGAACAGTGTAAATAATTTTTCAAGCTACAATTCATTAGCAGCATGAACATATTTTAGGATATGGTTTATCACAGCATTCGCAGGATATGGTTTACAGCAATTGCATTGGAGATAGACCTGCTGTCACAATAACAAACCCTATATAACAGTTTAAGGACGGATCTATGAATAAACATAAAGGAAAATTAGATATCCAACTGACAAATATCTAGATGGGTAAAAAAATACTAAAAGGCCCATCACAATATTGCTTTGGATTGTGTGCATTCAGTTTAAGTTCAACCACAATTAAAATCAGTTATGTTATAACATAAAAAGATAAATACATGTAAATCTTGAACTATAAAAACAAATATGGAGAGCAAATGATCGGCCCCAGGTGGTAAGGGTAGGCAACAACACCTCCGCCACGCTGACCCTCAACACGGAGGCCCCTCAGGTGTGTGTGCTTAGTACCCTCTTGTACTCCCTGTTCACCCACGACTGCCTCAAACACCATCATCAAGTTCGCTGATGACACAACGGTGGTAGGCCTGATCACCGACGGTGATGAGACAGCCTACAGGGAGGAGGTCAGTGATTTGGCAGTGTGGTGCCAGGACAACAGCTTCTTCCTCAACGTCAGTAAGACCAAGGAGCTGATAGTGGACTATATGAGAAAGAAGGGAGAGCACGTCCCCATTCACATCGACAAGGCTGTAGTGAAGCTGGTCGAGAGCTTCAAGTTCCTTGGCATCCACATTACTAAGGACTTACATGGTTCACACACACCCGCACAGTCGTGAAAAGGGCATGACCGCTCCTGACACTCTCACACACATTCACATACATTTCATACGCACACACATGCATACTGACAACAACCACAAACACATACTTTCACACTCATCATTTGCTGCTGCTACGGTTTTTTATTTGACTCTTATTATTATCTATCCTGATGCCTAGTCACTTTACCCTGCCTTCATGTACACATCTACCTCATACCCCTACACATTGATCTGATACTGGTACAACCTGTATATAGCTTCATTCTTGTGTATTTTATTCCTCGTGCTACTTAATTATTTTATTTTTTGTATCGTTGGGAAGGGTTAGAAAGCAAGCATTTCATGGTTAAGTCTACACCCGTTGTATTTGGCGCATGTAACAAATACAATTTGATATGGAACATTATCTTGTGAGAGAGCAGGTTGTTGACACTTTGTTGTCTAGTGGTAGCTTTACAAATAGCCATTACCCACATAAACCCCAAGACATTTGGCTTCTCTCCCTCAAGACACACTACCAATGAAATCCACATTGTTCCTCGTAAGTATGTGCCATTTTCCTCTGAACTGTACGTTTTTCTCTCAGCTGTTTTTGAAGAACGCCTCCTCTAAGACCTCAGTGAACCTGTCCTTCATCTGCAGGCGGAAACTACTATACCACTCCAGCAGTCTCCTCCTCCTCTCAGTCCTCTCCTCCTCCTCTCAGTCCTCTCCTCCTGGGTCATCCCCTTCTCCTTCTCCAGGAGGCCTGGCAGCTCCTTTCAGTCCTTGAGAAAGATGAAGGGGGCTCCTGCAGCTTTGAGGAGACGCAGTGGGGAGCTGCGTGCAGCAGAGCACCCACCTGGGGTCACAATGTCCTCCACCACGGGCACCGAACCGTAGGCACAGGCCTCGTAGATGTGGTAGCACTCTGTGTTGATTCCCACCGGGCAGAGGGTGAACTCGCTTTGGGCCAGGGCTGTCTGGTACCGTCTCAGACTCTCTGCCGTCTCCTAAGGAAGCCACCTGATGCAGGAGAGGAGGAGGAGGAGGAGGGACAGTAAGGACTAGTGAGCAGAGGGTTAATGTAATGTATTACGCATTTAAACAGTGCTTCTGCTGTGAATATATACACAGTTCTTGTAAATTCTCCTTTGCTCTTCATTAATTATTTTATGCAAAGATAAAAAAAGATAAAAACTGCTGTTTGAGAATGTTGACTCAGAGTTTCATTGGTAAACAAGGCCTAACAACAGTATTTCCAGTATTTCCAGGATGCAAAAACTGGACTGAAAACCATTAGAGTGAACTGATACAGACAGTGAGTGACAGCATAGCATAGTGACATACTTCTCTTGGGCAGTAGTGATGCACTCTTTGTCCAGTCCTGTTTTTTTCAAGATCCCCATTAGTGTTTCCCTCGAGGAGTTCTTGTAGACGGTTCCCAGGAAGTTTCAGAGGAAGGGCCTGGTGTAGCTCACCATCTGGGAGTTTACCATGACCACAGGAAACTGTCTGTATATGAACAGAGAGAGGCATAGAAATCCACAGTCAAATAACGCTTCTTTCTGGTACAATGGATATGTATGGTGTACTGAAATGGAAACATGAGCTAAATAAAAGGTGTATGGTGAGAGTAGACGACAAACAAGAAGAGAGGAACTCTTAGATCATGAGAAGAAAAAAAAATCAAGAAAAGGCTTCAAAAACAGAATCATGGTCCATATTCAAAGTGCTGATCAGTTCCTCCCGTCCATATAATTATGTCTCTAAAATATCAAACTGATCCTAGATCAGCACTCATACTCTGAAATGCTTGCTACATGGCCCCAGATCCCAGAAATGAAGACATACGTGGCTACTCCAAGGGGCCACTGGAAGACATCCTTGTCGTTGACCCAGGGGCTGTCATAGACCAGGAAGAGCAGGTCCACGAAGCCCCCATGCCTCCTCAGGTAGGTGCTGACAATGTCCATAATAACTTGTGTTTTACACCATCATGTAGCTTAACTGTTACTGTAAGAGGAAGCATCAAGCAAAGAGGAGATATCAAGCAATACTTGACAACTTATTTCGGAGCACCGCTAAAAAGGCATGGCTTACCTATGGCAGCTTTCCCCCAGATTTGAACTTTGTATCTCTTGGGCCTGTTCTTGTCAATGAGCTCCTGGTATTGTCTGATAGCCTCCCTCCGTTTGAGCAGAGCAGAGAGATCATCAGCCTGCTCATCCTCCCAAGGGTTCATCCCCATTGTATGGAGCCACATCACCACCACCTGTAAATCACCAAAACAACAGAACAATAATAATATTGGAGGTAGCTAGCTAGTGGTCTTCAGTAGTCAATTCACATGACCTGTCCATAACCATCTCAGGGTATTCACGTGTTGTTTTTATAATTGTATATACACATCATTGGACATGGCCCAAAAGCTATGGACAGAGGTTATTTTGTCAGCTAAGTAGGTAAAGTTAGCTAGCTAGTTAACGTACCTGGGGTTGCAGCTGTGATTTTCTTCACCACTCTGTGGACACGGGTGATCACCTTTGTCTTTGTATAAAAAAATATATCGTATGCAGCATACAAGGGAAACATTACATACACAAAAACTATCAGGAGGAATATTCTTTCTTTGATGTATTTTCATGTTTTCCTTCTCACGTTACCATTCTGCACTGAGCTAAAGGGTAGAGCTGCCGCTTTCAAGGATCGGGACTCTAACCCGGACGCTTATAAGTGGTAGGCCTGATCACCGACAACGATGAGACAGCCTAAAGGGAGGAGATCAGAGACCTGGCCGTGTGGTGCCAGGATAACAACCTCTCCATCAACGTGATCAAGACAAAGGAGATGATTGTGGACTACAGGAAAAGGAGGACCCGAGCACTCCCCCATTCTCATCGACGGGGCTGTAGTGGAGCAGGTTCAGAGCTTCAAGTTCCTTGGTGTCCACATCACTAACAAACTATCATGGTCCAAACACACCAAGACAGTCGTGAAGAGGGCACGACAAAGCCTATTCCGCCTCAGGAGACTGAAAAGATTTGGCATGGGTCCTCAGATCCTCAAAAAGTTATACAGCTGCACCATCGAGAGCATCATGACTGGATGCATCACCGCCTGGTATGGCAACTGCTCGGCCTCCGACCACAAGGCACTACAGAGGGTAGTGTGTACGGCCCAGTACATCACTGGGGCCAAGCTTCCTGCCATCCAGGACCTCTATACCAGGCGGTGTCAGAGGAAGGCCCTAAAAATTGCCAAAGACTCCAGCCACCCTAGTCATAGACTGTTCTCTCTGCTACCGCACGGCAAGCGGTACCGGAGCGCCAAGTCTAGGTCCAAAAGGCTTCTTAACAGCTTCTACCCCCTCGCCATAAACTCCTGAACAGCTAATCAAATGGCTACCCGGACTATTTGCATTGAATATTATCTATGCATAGTCACTTTACCTCTACCCACGTGTACATATTACCTCAATTACCTCGACTAACCTGTGCCCCCGCACATTGACTACGTACCGGAACACCCTGTATATACTGTTATTTTACTGCAGCTCTTTAATTATTTCTTATTTTTACATCTGCATTGCTTGCTGTTTGGGGTTTTAGGCTGGGTTTCTGTATAGCACTTTGTGACATCTGCTGATGTAAAAAGGGTTTTCTAAGTAGGCTACATAGGCTACATTTCACATGAAACTCAAGAGAGACAACATTATGGAGGTGAAAGGTAGAGAGAGGTTGTGTTTTCTCTAGCAGGAGGTAAGCTTGGCTTCTTATATGGTGTTGAGTAAAGCTTAAACCATGTATTGAGATTGTAGGTAGGTAGTTGTAGTTAGGTATTGTAGTTAGGTATTGTAGGTAGTTTATTTAGGTAGTTATTGTAGGTTTTTGTAGGTAATTATTGTAGGTAAGTATTGTATACGGCGGAGCCCAGCGAAGCACGAGGCTAGCTAGCTAGCGGGTAGCTACTGGTAACGTTTAGCAACGGTGGATAGTTGTTTCCAATGTTATTTCACGCTTAAGAGTACAGTACAGAGTACAGTACAGTTAGCTAGCCATTTTTCAAACAAAGTCAACACAGTAGCCATTGCTAGCTAGCCAACACGACCAGCTAACTGTACTGTAGCAGCTAAATACAATTTATTTGTGCTAGCCAGCCAACGTTTAATTATTGCTGCGTTATGAAAGGAACTAAACACGGACACGAATTATCTGTTTAGTGTGTTAACACACTATTGGTAGTTTGTTGTAACCAAGTATTGGTGCTAAACTGTGTGTTATTGGATGCTAGCATGCTAGTTAGCTATGGCGTCATAGTTAGCTAGCTGAATAAAGTAAGTTGAGTCTATTCCTAGAAACATTGAACCGCTGTAGTTCACAACAATTCTAATTTCTAAAGTGGAAGTTGGGAGAGTTTTTATTCGGGTGGTTCAGTGAAACAATTATAGTTTCTGAGGTGGAAGTTTTGGTGAGGGAGGCCCTACTCTCTCCTTTCCCAGATGTTTAGTTCATTTCATTCCGATCTCCTCTGCATTATTGTAGCCATTTGCTACAGCCTGTCAACTATGCCTCTGCCTATCCCTGTTCTCTCCTCTCCGCACAGGCTACACAAACGCCTCACACCGCGTGGCTGCTGCCTCTCTAACCTGGTGGTCCCTGCACGCACCCCACACCTGGAGTTCCAGGTCTCAGGCAGCCTCTGGAACTGCCGTTCTGCTGCCAACAAGGCTGACTTCATCCCAGCCTATGCTAACCTCCAGTCCCTCGACTTCCTGGCGCTGACGGAAACATGGATTACCACTGAAAACACTGCTACTCCTACTGCTCTCTCCTCATCTGACCATGTGTTCTCGCATAACTCGAGAGCATCTGGTCAGAGGGGTGGTGGCACAGGAATCCTCATCTCTCCCAAGTGGACATTCTCAATTTTTCCCCTAACCCATCTGTATATCTCCTCATTTGAATTCCATGCTGTCACAGTCACTAGCCCATTTAAGCTTAATATCCTTGTCATCTATCGCCCTCCAGGTTCCCTTGGAGAGTTCATCAATGAGCTTGACGCCTTGATAAGTTCCTTTCCTGAGGATGGCTCACCCCTCACAGTTTTGGGGGATTTCAACCTCCCTACGTCTACATTTGACTCATTTCTCTCTGCCTCCTTCTTTCCACTCCTCTCCTCTTTTGACCTCACCCTCTCACCGTCCCCCCCTACTCACAAGGCAGGCAATACGCTTGACCTCATCTTTACTAGATGCTGCTCTTCTACTAATCTCACTGCAACTCCCCTCCATGTCTCCGACCACTACTTTGTATCCTTTTCTCTCTCGCTCTCCTCCAACACTACTCACTCTGCCCCTACACAGATGGTAATGCGCCGCCGCAACCTTCGCTCTCTCTCTCCCACTACTCTCTCCTCTTCCATCCTATCATCTCTTCCCTCTGCTCAATCCTTCTCCCTCCAATCTCCTGATTCTGCCTCCTCAACCCTCCTCTCCTCCCTTTCTGCATCCTTTGACTCTCTGTGTCCCCTATCCTCCCGGCCGGCTCGGTCCTCCCCTCCAGCTCCGTGGCTTGATGACTCATTGCGAGCTCACAGAACAGAGCTCCGGGCAGCGGAGCGGAAATGGAAGAAAACTAAATTCCCTGCCGACCTGGCATCTTTTCACTCCCTCCTCTCTACATTTTCTTCATCTGCTTCTGCTGCTAAGGCCCCTTTCTACCACTCTAAATTCCAAGCATCTGCCTCTAACCCTAGGAAGCTCTTTGCCACATTCTCCTCCCTGCTGAATCCCCCCCCCCCCCCCTCCTCTCTCTCTGTGGATGACTTCGTCAACCACTTTGAAAAGAAGGTTGACGACATCCGATCCTCGTTTGTTAAGTCTAATGACACTGCTGGTCCTGCTCACACTGCCCTACCCTATGCTCTGACTTCTTTCTCCCCTCTCTCTCCAGATAAAATCCTGCGACTTGTGACTGCAGGCCGCCCAACAACCTGCCCGCTTGACCCCATCCCCTCCTCTCTTCTCCAGACCATCTCCGGTGACCTTCTCCCCTACCTCACCTCGCTGATCAACTCATCCTTGACCGCTGGCTATGTCCCTTCCGTCTTCAAGAGAGCGAGAGTTGCACCCCTTCTCAAAAAACCAACACTCGATCCCACTGATGTCAACAACTACAGACCAGTATCCCTTCTTTCTTTTCTTTCCAAAACCATTGAGCGTGCCGTCTTTAGCCAACTCTCTTGCTATCTCTCTCAGAATTACCTTCTTGATCCAAACCAGTCAGGTTTCAGGACTGGTCATTCAACTGAGACTGCTCTTCTCTGTGTCACGGAGGCTCTCCGCACTGCTAAAGCTAACTCTCTCTCCTCTGCTCTTGTCCTTCTAGACCTGTCTGCTGCCTATGATACTGTGAACCATCAGATCCTCCTCTCCACCCTCTCCGAGCTGGGCATCTCCGGCGCGGCTCACTCCTGGATTGCGTCCTACCTGACCGGTCGCTCCTACCAAGTGGCGTGGCGAGAAGCTGTCTCCGCACCACGTGCTCTCACCACTGGTGTCCCCCAGGGCTCAGTTCTAGGCCCTCTCCTATTCTCCCTTTACACCAAGTCACTTGGCTCTGTCATATCCTCACATGGCCTCTCCTATCATTGCTACGCTGACGATACACAACTAATCTTCTCCTTTCCCCCTTCTGATAACCAGGTGGCGAATCGCATCTCTGCATGTCTGGCAGACATATCAGTATGGATGACGGATCACCACCTCAAGCTGAACCCTGGCAAGACGGAGCTGCTCTTCCTCCCGGGGAAGGACTGCCCGTTCCATGATCTCGCCATCACGGTTGACAACTCCGTTGTGTCCTCCTCCCAGAGTGTGAAGAGCCTTGGCGTGACCCTGGACAACACCCTGTCGTTCTCCGCTAACATCAAGGCGGTGACCCGATCCTGCAGGTTCATGCTCTACAACATTCGGAGAGTACGACCCTGCCTTACACAGGAAGCGGCACAGGTCCTAATCCAGGCACTTGTCATCTCCCGTCTGGATTACTGCAACTCGCTGTTGGCTGGGCTCCCTGCCTGTGCCATTAAACCCCTACAACTCATCCAGAATGCCGCAGCCCGTCTGGTGTTCAACCTTCCCAAGTTCTCTCACGTCACCCCGCTCCTCCGCACACTCCACTGGCTTCCAGTTGAAGCTCGCATCTGTTACAAGACCATGGTGCTTGCCTATGGAGCTGTGAGGGGATCGGCACCTCTGTACCT